CCGGTGCGACCAAATCCCAAAATGCCACGCAGGCCACCCCCAAGGCACACGGGAGGTCCACGGCCCGGGCGAAGGGCTCCGCTGCACGTTGTCGGAGGGTGTGGACCGAAATCTGCCCCTTGTCCCGGACCCAACAGGCGTCGACCAGGGCGTAGAGGGTCAGAAGCTGGAGGTGGCTGGCTTCCGCCGAGGCCCGCGCCAGGAAACCCGCCTTCCTCCCGGGGTCGAGCAGGCCCATGTCCTCCTCGTCCTCTGTCTCGGGGCCGCGGAGTAAGCGGGCCGTGAGCACGCGCCAGGGGACCCAAAGGGCGTCTTTCACGGAAAGCAAACGACACGGGGGGGGGTGGCGGCCACTCCTCCCCCTGCGACCGGGCGTCAAGGGCCTCCACCAGGCGCCCAACAGCGACTCAAGGGGGGCGCGGTGCCGTGGGAGGTCTTCGGGCGTGGTTTCGTCCAATCCCCACACGTGGCGCAGCACTTGCCCTCGTACCGTGGCGAAGTCTTGGCCGTACCTGTGGTCGGGGCCTGCGAAGTACTCGCCTTCCCTGCCCCTCACTCCCCCCGACGCCTGGCTGAGTGGAAGAAATGGCATGGACAAGCTGTCCACGGTGTGGTGCCAGATGTTGTCGTCGCCATCCACGAACCTGCGAACGAACAATAGGCAGGAATACCCTCCTATCAGGGCCTTGGACTCCGCCACCAAGGCTTCGAACCCTTCTTGTTGCTGGAGCAAAGCCGTCGCACTCCCTTCCCGTCCTTCGTAATCTGCTTCGTCATCCCAAAAACTCAAATTTTCGCGGATCCGCAGCAAAAACGCCCGCAAGATTGCTTGGACCTGGTGCAATGCCGCAACGCGTGCATGCACGTCCTCCAGCGAAAGCGTAAGCAGACGGTTGTGCTCTTCCGGGTCTTCGATGCGACGACGCTCTTCAGCCACATCATTCTGCAGTTGTACTTTAATGGCTTGCAGCTGTGCATGGCTGGTGCCTTGGTTCAGGACGAGACGGATTTGCTCAGCAATGTCGAGGGGAGAACGACGGAGACCTGAGGAGGTAGAATGCTCAGACGGGGGCATGGGAATGGCACGCGCGCGACGTGTGCTGGATTGCAGCACCCTTGAGAGAGACTTGACGCTCGGAAGCCCTTTCAAGCTTTAAGGACCCTGTTAGCGCGTCAGGAAATGTGGGTTGGGCCATGCATGGTTGTTCAGTCAAGCGTTGTTTCCCCCTCCTTGTCCGAGAAACGGTACTTGGCGCGGCCATTGCCGTGGTTCACGCTTGTTACGTTTCGAACGCGCACTGCCCCTAGACGTGTGGTGAATCTGTGTTATGTCTTGCCATCAAGGAGAGTTAACGCCTGTAAGCTCTACTTTACAGTAAGATGAGTCAAGGTGACCATTATGCATGCCCGGCACTTGAAATTCATAAAACCAAGCACCTCGGCTTCCTTCACAACCTGAGGAAAGAAACAGAGAGATCCTCGTCGCTTTTAGACTGTAAACACCTTGTAGTTTATTGTTTCAAGCACACATGGTCCTCACTAAGAGGCTGCTATGCCGAGGTCTACTTTCAATGTCATCAGAGGAAGACATCTTCCCGGTCCCTATTTTGTCTATTGATATGCACACACGCGAACGGCACACGAGATAACTATCAGCGTTACATCTATTGCATCACTTCCTTACGCAGCCACATGCGTCTTCCGTCTTGTGGTCGACGTCTCCAAGCCCTCTTTTCCCCTTTTCCTTCGCTTCTTCATTTTTTTCCCGGTACCTCCCTGCTTCATTTGCTTCCCCCCTCCCTGATGGCCCCCGTCCCGCCACCCTTGCAAAAACGTGGACGATCGCTTGATGGTGCACACAAGCGATGCTGTCACTGCTTTCTGCCAACGTCGCATCCACGCGCCGGCTGCTAGGGCCACAGCCTCGGCTTCCGCGGGGCCGGGAGGCGCTGGCAAGGAAAGCTGGACTTGCTGCGCCGCTACAGCCCCCCACTCGAAAGCCAAGTCATGCACTTGCCGGGCTTTGGCCCTGGCCACGTCCCATACACAAAGGGCAACACGCACCACGGCGTTGGGCTTGCAAGACCCGCCCCTCCAGGCATGGCCGGGCAGGCACCAGCCTTGGCCCCAGGCCCGGAGGTCGTCTCGGTGCCGGCGCAGGAGATGGTGCGCGTACTCCAAACCGAAGACCGCCACCACCTCCATCAAAGACAAGTCCTCCGCCATGAATCCTCGGTCGTACAGGCGCGTCAGCTCCCCCCGTCCGGCGCCCCACCCTCCCAAACCGGCCGCCCCCGACAGGCCCACGCCCTCTCGACGCGGGCTCTGGCCTCGCGATGGGGGGACCGCCCTGACCACCTGCTTGGCTTCGTCGGGGAGGGTGGGGTGCGGGTCGCTCGCCGGGAGAGGGAAGGGGGAAGAAGGGGCAGACCCGTGTGGACCCGGGGCGGAAGTGTCGGCAGGCAGGGCTGGGGCGAATTCGAGGAGGGCGGGGATGGGATTGCCCTCGCTCACACAGACCTCTTCCCCCCGCCCGCCGTCCCTCGTGCCTTCCTTGGCATGTCCGTGGCCCCGACCCTCGCTCTTGACCTTCCCATCCGTCCTACTAGGGGCCGCTGCCTTCGCTCCTGCTCTCTCATCGGCCGTCCTGGACGCTAGAGACTCGATCTCCACCAGACTTCCCCCCTCGTCCACCTGCCCCGCTTTCCCCTGCAACAGGACCTCGCTCTCCCCCGAACCACCGCCTTTCTTTTCTTCTCCCTCCTCCCCACTACCCCCGACTCCAAATTCATCATCTGCTTGGGTCCGCCCGTCCCAGTCCCCGGGCGGGACACCTGGCTCCTCCGACGACGGCATCGTCCACGCCACGACCTCTGGGGCATTCTTCCCCTCCCTCGACCATCCCCTCGCGCCCGACCCCGCCCCTCCCTCCCATCCCTCCTCCTTTGGCACGACCGTTGCCCACGCACGGAGGGGCAAGGGTCCCTGCCGCGCCCACAGGCCCAAGCCGAGGAGGAGGAAGAGCACCACCAGCACCTTCCTCACGGACCTGCCCTCCCTCCCACGCACCCACGCCGTCCCCGCCAATTCCCTGCTCCAGGCTTTAACTCGGCTCAGGATCGGTATGGAAGCCCCTGCGAGGCCCTTGGCCTCTCTCCACGGGCTCTGGGCCCAAGCCTCCTCACCGCCTCGCCCCACCGCCCCCGTGTCCTGGTCCTCCCTGCTAGTGTCCCCGAGGGGACCCCTGCTCTCCACCAGGCCCCTCTTTCGTCCCTCCCACACCCGAAGCAGGTGGGGCTCTTCGACCCACTTTCCAGGGTAGCAGCGGCGGACTAGGCGGAAGCCTGCCAACGCCTGCTGGGTCCGCCAAAGGCTGGTGCTGAGGAGAGCCAGGTAGGAGCCTCGCTTCTCGTCGAAGACGGGGCCCTCCTCCACACATGCGGGTGTGATCCTGGCCTCCTCCTCTTCCTCGTCCTCGTCCGCTTCGTCGTCGGTGCTCGCGTCCGCTTTCTCGGGCGTGGAGGCCCCCGGCGGGGGGGCAGACGTCGTGGATCCCATCCCCGTCGCCGCCGTCCACAAAGCTTTCATCAACAAGGATTTCTTCGGGCTGCCGTTCGCGCCCATGTGTCTCCTTGATTCGTCGGCTGGGACAGGGACGCCTAAATCTTCGCTGTCGCAAGGGGGTGTTGAGGCCTCGCTCTCGGATGAGTGGGATGCCCGGCGTAGAAGTTCCAGATAGGCCAAGGTCAGGCTCTCTGGCGTGATGGCGCTCCCGTTGCTGAGACTGCCACTCTTGTAAGGCCGTTGGGTATTTGTACTCGTTTCAGGTGGGTGGTGAAAGGAGTAAGGGCGGCTACACTCCACCTCGGTGCTGGTCAAGTTGCTCCTGACACCAACCTTCCCCAACGTCGATTCAGTCTGAGATATACATTCCAAAGATTGCGAATGCGGGAAGGACAGATGCCGATACTTGTGAGTGTGAGGAGCGTGTGTCCGCTGCTTCGTGCCCATTTGCGTGGTCGAATGATAAGATTCGGTAGGAGATGTGTCTTCGAGATCTCCAGCGACCACGGCAGTGGCAAGTACGTCCTCAGGTTGACATCCCCCCGTGTGCTGATAAATGGTGGTGTCTTCCATCTTTGCGGTGCACCAGACCTGTGCATAATGGATTGCAGATGAAAAATCGCATGAGCGCTCCAGGTGGTTGCTTTTCGTGGCTGTGGACGGTGACATACCGTCGGCTCTGGGTTGCTTGACATCGTTGACTGCATGCTGACACACAATCGTCACTGTCGCCGACAGCCCCCCCGCGACTCCACTACTGGCCGTCACGCCAGAAAAAGCGAGTGAGCGAGGGAGCATCCAGGGTTTCCAAGACGTACAAGGCGGGGAGATGGCTAAGAATTCAGGCCTGGGCCAATGGTTGTGGATCCGGTGCGACCAAATACCGAAGACCGGCGACTGTCGGAACGCGTGCAAGCACCCATATACGCAGGCGGAGCGGGGAGGTTAGATGGATGCATAATACGTCCCGTGTTACGTACCGAGGAAGTAAGCTGGTTTGGAGAGGTGCGGGACACTAGGAGTACTGAGACTAAAGGATGTTGGGGTCAACCATGATTTCAAGATTCGCGGATAACGGAAAGCATTCCAAAACCAACCTTTTCTTTCCGTTGGTTCGTGTTGGAGAGCTCTCGGGTGCGTGAGATCAGGGTGACCATCTACACGAGAAGACACGAAAGTATGCATTCGGTTCAATGTAATCAATGACTCGTATTCTCTTTTTCAAAAGGCATATGTAGCAACGCACGCAAAAAAGACCAAATTTTCTTTCTTCTCGTCGAACACCCTCGTGTCCCATCTTTTTATGCTCTCCATCTGTCAACACGCAACCCTCTCCCCCCCCTTAAGGCGTATGTTTAAATATCGTATCCCTCTAATTCCAATATCAGCCGGAAAGCCTCTGTTACATCCGCCACTACGTGCTTGGCAGCGTGTGGCATGCCCTCTTTGTAAACCCCTGTCTTGACCAGGATGGAAACCCACTCGCAATGATGTCCGTCGGCACGATTGGCGCCTATTATGGATATGACAAGAGACAAGCGTGTAAATTGTCAACTTTTATGATCTTTCAAAGAATAACGTCACACATACAGCGCGGTATCCCCGCCAGCATCTCTTCCCCTTACACCCTTTCCCGCGCACCTTCCACGTCACTCAGTGGATTGTCCCCCACCGCGTACACCCGCTGGATGGGGTAGTGCTTGTGCTCATGCGGCTTGTGAGGAGGCAAGTCCTCCCCTGTCAGACCCAAGAGCCGAGCCTCGTGCACCAGCATTTTCTCCGCGTGCCGGTAGCTGCTCTCCCAGGGCTTCCCGAAGCGGGTTATTTCTGAGCAAGCAAGAGAGGGAGAGGCATGGCCAAGGATACTTAGTGTTCCTAAGACAGGATGGGATCGAACCTTCCTCGCGCCACTTCCCTCTGTCAGTGTTCATTATTCCCTCTTTATTTCTCCTGTCTATTGCCAGCGCTGGCCGCGCCTTCCGTGCTCACGCGTATCCTACCTATGCCCTTTCCACCGTAACAGGCGCGATAAACAGCCTCCCAGGCCGTCAAGAATGCCCCTTGCGCCAGCCGAGGCACGGCATAGCCGCTGCTAAAGACTAGGTCCGAATTGGAGGAGTAAACTGGGATGTGGGAGTGTTTGCCGGAGTCCGCCGGGTCCTTGCCCACGAGCCTCCCGCCTTCGAACACGTCGCACAAAACCTGGATCTCAGGGGCCCAATCCACGGGATCGTGGAGGATGAAGACGGCTGTGAGGCCACGATGAAAAGCGAGCAAAGGGGAGGACGTGTCGGATGGGAAAGATTCACAGGTGAGCATGAGAGACAAGAGAAGAGCGTCAGGACATAAGAGGGGAAGAGCGATCGCATACATGTGCCGAGCAATTGTACCCCACGCCGAAAGAAAATAGAGGCAAGGATGAGGCACAGATAGGGTCATATCCTCGACCCACGCACCGGCAAACGGGTCTGTGTGCAAATCGTGCCGCTTATGGTAGGTTTTAAACGGGTAGAGCTCCGGATGCGCGTGGAGGACATCCTCCACCGTGACCACGTGCTGAAAGCCGTAGGCACGGCACACGGCCGCGTAGTCTTTGGACCCAAGCGCAAGTATTTGCTTATCTTTGTAAAGAGGGAGAAGGGATTTCATGGGCGTGTGGGAGAGCATGACCTGGAGATGTTGGAGAGCGCTTCGGGTCAGAGGAAAGCAAGTACAGATCGCCTAAGCTGAAGAAATTGCCGCTCTCTCTTGCTTGCCCCACTGACTTTCTTTAGTTTCTCTCCTCTCTCTTTCCCATACCCTTTTCCTTCTCCCCTGAACGCACCTGACTCGGTCGGATGGGGACAGGCAACTCAGGGAAAAATACGTCGCTCATTTCGTGGGCCTTGGCGTCCTCCATGCACCCCCCTCCATTCGTCAAAAACACGAAAGGCACGCGTCGAGCCACGTTCGGGTTGCTTTGTGCCTCCACCAGGTACTCCAGCACCCGCCCTGCCCCTGGAATTTGATTCCCCCCTCGGACAAGCACGCCGTCAATGTCAAAGGCAACAGCAAATGGGACCGGGGATGCAGACGTCGCGGCAGAAGATAATGTGCGTGAACGGCACTTGGCTCTAACACTGGCCAATTTTCGTGGCTGAGCAGCACGGGCGGTAGCAGGTCCGGCCCTCAAGATGCCCGCCGCTCGAAGAGACAGCATCTTTAAGTGCAAAGGGCGGACAAAAACAATAGCCAGGTGGTTATGTGTATCTGTCGACCGGTGTGAGTGTGTGCATGCTGTGTTCGGTCCCAGGTTTCCCCCCTAAACAGAAAAGACGACGAGGTCAACGAACTTGTCCAAACCTTGTACATGCATAATCCCCGCTCAACTCCTCGGCTTGGCACGGGGGTGTATTCCATGTGGGGGTTTTCATGCGGAAGAGCGAGGCCGGTCGCCCACGGCGGCGACTCCGAGTCGGAGGGGGGCGGGGTCGGGAGGTGAGTCTGCCAGCACTTTGATACACAATATTTTCACGCGCTTTGTCTCAAGGGCATTCCCCGCCGCTTAAGGCGTGCCCTTAGAAGTCTTGGAAATGTAGAAGTGACCGCAACCCACGCAGATGGCGGACGACTTGATTTTTTTAACGGAGTTGAATAGGGATGTCTATCGGATCGAGCAGCGTACGTCTCTCACTCACCATTGATGTGGTTTGACTCTAGGCGTGCACACTCTGAGTTCGTACCACAGAGAGGTAGTAGCGACTTTCATCACTCAGAACCAGGCCATATCTCCCCTCCCTCTTTTTGAATTTAAGCGACTGTGCCCGGGAACATCGACTTGTGGAAGTCGTACGCGCCCTGCTTCAGGATTATTACTGGTTTCAAATAAACCACGTACAGGACGCAACCACCCGCGTGCAAGCTTTTCTAAAGTTGCACATGTCTAGAACAAGACCAAGAACAGCCCCAGCAGCAGCATCCCCCTCCATATATGGGTCTATTGACGAGCACGCGTCCACGGGCATGCGAGGTTCCGACGGGAAGGCCCGGGAGCCGGGAGAGGAACGGCCACGGTCGACAGGAAGGAAGCCCAGAAAGAAAAGAAAGGGTGGCATAACGTCAGAAGAGTGGCTCCAAGGCGTCTTGTACGGGCTCATCAACGCTTCTATTTGCTTGCCCGCCTCTATCTCCTTCAGCACTATCATTTTTCAACACGAAGCCTTCGCACCTTACCTTCCCGTCCTCGTCCGCCTGGTCCTCCTCAGCAGCGCTGTCCATGCCACAGTCTTTGTTGCCCTGTCGAGTATGCCTTTCGCCGTAGGACAAGTTCAGGTAAGTCTCTGGAGGCGGGAAGTCCTGGAGGTAGCACTTCCGTCTGAGCGTCCTCCCCTCCTCTTAACAGGACGCGGGGCTCATCTTCCTCTCCTCCATGGCCAGCATACTGGCTGACTACTGTCGAAAGCATCAGCTCTCGGATGCGGTCCTTCTCTCTACCACCCTGGTCCTCCTCTCCCTTGCGACCGCCACCGTCGGCCTCTGCCTCATTGGGATCGGGCGGCTCCGGCTGGCCTCGATCGTCACCTACGTCCCGATGGCAGCCGTCTCGGGGTATTTGGCTTTCATTGGACTCTTTGCCTTCAATGCAGGTGCGTTTGGCGGGCAGAGGGATGGCGGGGTGTGTGTACAGGACGACGA